CCATGTAGAGAGCGTTACAGTAGTCCAGGCGGGAGGTGACAAGAGCATGAGTGACTGTGTGTAAGGCGTCCCGGTCCAGAAAAGGCCGCAACTGGTGAATCAGGCGAACCTGATAAAACGCCCCCCTGGTCACGGCCGACAGATGGTCATCTAAAGTCAGCCGTGAATCCAGGAGGACTCCCAAGTTGCGCGCCCTCTCCGAGGGGGCCAAGGTTTCGCCCCCTATAGTCAGCGATGGCGTCAGCTGACTATGCCGAGGCGCCGGAAACCACAGCCACTCGGTCTTGGAAGGGTTGAGCCTGAGTCTGTTCCTCCCCATCCAGACCCGTACGGCATGAAAGCCATCTGGGTGACTTTGGGCCAATCACCAATACGGTGAGTTCTTAGGCATGAAAGCCAGCTGGGTGACTTTGGGCCAATCACCAGGAGATGGTGAGTTCTAGTCCTACCCTAGACATGAAAGCTGGCTGGGTGACTTTGGGCCTATCATCAGGAAATGGTGAGTTCTAATCCTGCCTTAGGCACAGAAGCCAACTGGGTGACTTTGGGCCAATCACCAGGAGATGGTGAATTCTAGTCCTACCTTAGGCATGAAAGCCATCTGGGTGACTTTGGGCCAATCACCAGGAGACGGTGAGTTCTAGTCCTGCCTTAGGCATGAAAGCCATCTGGGTGACTTTGGGCCAATCACCAGGAGACGGTGAGTTCTAGTCCTGCCTTAGGCATGAAAGCCGGCTGGGTGACTTTGGGCCAATCACCAGGAGACGGTGAGTTCTAGTCCTGCCTTAGGCATGAAAGCTGGCTGGGTGACTTTGGGCCAATCACCAGGAGACGGTGAGTTCTAGTCCTGCCTTAGGCATGAAAACCAGCTGGGTGACTCTGGGCCAAAGTAGTGGGCCATGTCCCAGGGGTTGGCGACCCCGGGTTAATCAACCCTCCTTTGCACCTTCTCTCCCTGTCTCCCCCTAGTGGCCTGCACCTTTAGCTGCACCATGAAGTTCACAGTTCGAGACTGCGACCCCAACACCGGCGTGCCGGATGATGACGGTTATGACGACGAATACGTGGTAAGGTCTGGGGAGTTTGCGGTCAGCTGGAGCAGGATTTTGGGCTCAGTTGCGGACATAAGTCGAGGAACCCCCCCCCAATCCCCTAATGCTTTCTGCCCTTCCCTTCCGCAGCTGGAGGACCTGGAGCTGACTCTCTCCGACCACATCCAGAGAGTCCTGAAGCCCAACTTCGCGGCCGCCTGGGAGGAGGTGGGCGATGACTACGAGAAGGAGGAGACATTCGCACTCAGCACCATTAAAAGCCTGGAGGGTGAGAGGATGGCTGCTCTTTCAGTTTCTGTTTTAAAGCACTTTCAACCATCTTTAAAAACATGGCAGGATTCTTGGTTGTCTTGGAGTGCAGCCTAAAGCTAGGGAATTCTGGGAGTTGAAGTCCACCCATCTTAAAGCGTGATGGCTGGGGAATTCTGGGAGTTGAAGTAATTAATAATAATAATAATAATAATAATAATAATAATAATAATAATAAAGTTGGAAGGGACCTTGGAGGTCATCTAGTCCAACCCCCTGCTCAGGCAGGAATCCCTATACCATTTCAGACAAATGGCTGTCCAGTCTCTTCTTAAATACTTCCAGTGTTGGAGCATTCACCGCTTCTGGAGGCAGGTTGTTCCACTGGCTAATTGTTCTCACTGTCAGAATTGCAGCTGAGGAATTCTGGGAGTCCATCCACTCCTGGGGACCAGACGATGGAACTTCAGATCTGGGTCGTTTATGTTCCTTTGGGGGGGGAGGGGGCTCTTTCGTGACTTTATTGGGTTTATATTTACATTTGATTATTTTTTATGCTATAAGCCTGCCAGAGTCAATTTGAAACGAGATGAGATGGCAAATAAATTTAATAAATCAGTAAACGTTGAACGGTCAACCTGTAGTCCTCGACTTACGACTGCTTGCTTAGTGGTTGTTCAAAGTTTATGAATTGACTAAAGAAGAGAAGCAAGTTAAAACTAAGAAGAAACTTCCTGACAGTGAGGACAATTAACCAGTGGAACTACCTGCCTCCAGAAGCGGTGAATGCTCCAACACTGGAAGTTTTTTTAAAAGAGATTGGACAGCCATTTGTCTGAAATGATATAAGGTCTCCTCCTTGAGCAGGGGGTTGGACTAGATGACCTCCAAGGTCCCTTCTGTTCTAAAGGAGGTCCGAGGTGTTCTTTGCAGCTCATGGCAAGGAAAAAGGGGGTGTCTTCACCCGCCAGTACAATGGACCCCCCCTCCCCCCGCTTTGCTTGTCAGGGGCTGCTGGGTAAACTCTCCAAATCTTCTGAATCCCCGTGTCTCGAACTCTGGACCAGTGGAAGGACTGACGACCTCTCTTTTTGAACCCCCCCTCCCCCCCAATGTAGAAGCTGTGAACAACATTGTGAAGTTCCTCGGCATGCAACCTTGTGAGAGATCGGATAAAGTGCCCGAGAACAAGAATTCCCACACCCTCTACCTGGCAGGTAAGAGCCCCTCCGGAAATTGGGGGGGTTCAGGATACTGAAGCTCCCTGCAGCTACAGCCAGGTTCCCCGTGAACTCACACACACACACACACACACACACACAGCTGGCTTTCATGGCTGAGGCAGGACTAGAACTCACCGTCTCCTGGTGATTGGCCCAAAGTGACCCAGCCAGCTTTTATCCCAAGGCGGAACTAGAACTCGCCATCTCCTGGTGATTAGTCCAAATTCACCCAGGGCGCTTTCGTGCCTAAAGTGGGACTAGAACTCACCGTCTCCCAGTGGTTGGCTCAGTCACCCAGCTGGCTTTTATCCCAAGGCAGAACTAGAACTCGCCATCTCCTGGCGATTGGCAGAAACGTCACTCAGCCGGCTTTCACGCCTAAGGCAGAATTAGAACTCACCGTCTCCTGGTTTCTAGACCTGCACCGTCGTCACTACACTCTACGGCCGACTGATGGGTTGACGATTGATTGATGGCTTTGGGAAGACCACGGAAGGCCCTAAGACAGCGCCATCTCATTGCTTCTGGACTCTTGAAATCTGGCGTACCTTCTCTCAATTTGCTCTCCCCCCCCGCCCCCGTTTCATCTCCAGGTATGTTCAGAGGCGGCTTCGATGTCCTGGTCAGAGCCCGACTGGCTCTCGGCGACGGCGTGACCATGCAGGTGACCGTCCGGAGCATCGTAGAAACCCCCGTGGACGTCATCTTGGCTTCCGTCGGCTAACCGTCGTAACCCGTCCGATCCCGAGGCGGCCCCATCCCGAATCCTCTCCCGTTCGGCAAGGCGCAACCAAGGATCCGCGGCGGTACATTGAGTTCGTTCATTCGCTCGCTCGCTGATTCCCTTCGATGGTGATTCGTGTCTCAAGGAATTTTGGGCATTTTTCATGCGTTTCTCCCCCCGAGGCCAGGGAAAACTCTGCCCCATCTTCATTTCTGGTTATATAAATTATTGCCTCCGTGCCGCCGGTGAGATTTAAAAAAAAGGGGGGGGTGTCCTTTTTTTTTCTTTTCTTTTTTTTTAAAAAAAAAGCGGTTCCCGAAATGGATTTTTTTATTGGCCACCAATAAATGGGCTATCTCAGCACTTCCAGATGTTTTTCCATGGGTCTGAATAATAAAACCCCTTCAGTATATCGGCGTCTCTCAACTTTAAAAGGCCTGGGCTTCCGATTCCCATAGCTGGCTGGGGGATTCTGGGAGTTGAAGTCCAGACCTCTCAAACTTAACTAAATGATGGATCAAAAGCCGCGTTCTCCACCATGACGAGAGACCTTAGGGTGTTTTAGCTTAGCAAGTAATCCTTGACTTACGACAATTCGTTTAGTGACCGTTAAGTTACAACGGTACTGAAAAAAGGGGCTTACGACCGTTTTTCCCACCGCTGCAGCGTCCTCGTGGTCCCGTGATCAAAACTCAGCCACTCAGTGATGGACTCGTATTTATGACGGTTGCAGCTTCCTCGGGGGTCACGTGATTTCCCCTTTTGCGTCCTTCTGACAAGCAGAATCAACGGGGGAAGCCACAATCAATGACCGTATGACAAACGTAGCAGGGAAGGTCGTAAAATGGGGCAAAAACTCACTTAAGAAATGTCTCATTTAACAACAGGAATATTAGGCTCGATTGTGGTCGTAAACCGAGGACTACCTGATATTGGGGTATTTAAAAAGGCGGCATAGGAAATAATTCTTACTCTTAACAATCCGAGGTTACAAATAGGAAGCGAATGCCAGGATCCGGGGGAGTAATAAAAAGTCTTTTATGTAACGCATAGCTGGGCTCCAAAATTTACAATTTAAATGAATTGAAAAGGAGACGAGACTGACTGACGACAAAGCAGCTCATCAAGGGTGCCGTACAGGTAGTCCTGTCAACTTACAGCAGTTCATTTAGTGACCGTTCACAGTTAACAACGGCACAGGAAAATGACTTTATGACCGTTTTCCCACCCTTAACGTCCATTCCAGCGTCCCCATGATCAAACTTCAGATGCTCGGCAACTGACTCACACTTACAACGGGTCGCAGTGTCCCGAGGCCACGTCGATCCCCTTTTGCGGACCTTCTGACAAGCAAAGTCAATGGGGAAGCCATATTCACTGACTAATTAAAGGTCTACAAGTGATTCACTTAACAACGGTGTGACTAAAGGTCTACAAGTGATTCACTTAACGGTGGTAAGGTCATAAAACGGGGCAGAACTCAACTTTACAAACGTCTCGCTTAGCAACAGAAATGTTGGTCTCAATTGTGGATGTTAAGTCGAGGACGACCTGCACTGCCTTAATGTGAAAAACGGTCATAAGTCACTTCAGTGCCGTTGTAACTTGGAACGGTCACTAAATGAACTATTGTAAGTACTGTATCAGCCTGATCCTGCTGGACTCGTCTTCATTTCTGCCTGCTTATTCACCTGGTCTTCTCTCTCCCTGCATCCTCCAGAGTCAGGATTTTTTTGGGGGGGGGTGGAGGGAAAGGCAGGCTCCCTGCCAACGGCTTCAGGCCCCCTCCGCCCCTATCTCCACCAATCCATCGGCTGGATTCTGTTGAGTTTACTCGCCCAGACGAGAGATTGCTTCGAAAGGTTGGTTTGACTGCTGCCCGGAGTTTTCATCAGCTCTTCCCACGCCTCTCCTATTGCTCCAGAGTACAAAATTGTCCTCTAAGAAGAAAAGGGGGGTGATTTCTGTCCGTCTTCTTTGTCGTCTCAGAAGGAGTTGATGAAGTTTAAGTAGGCATTCAGGAAACCCTGAGGGTCCTCCAGCTGAGGGTAGTGGCTGATGTGGTCATCCAGCACCGTCACAGTCGACATGGGAAGCACCTGCCTGTCGAAAAACAGCAGAGAATAGAAATAGAAATAATAGAATAGACTGGAATGGAATGGAATAGAAAATATGGAATGGAATGGAATAGTAGAGTAGAATAGAATAATAGAACAGAACAGAATAGAATAGAAAATATGGAACAGAATAGAATAGGAAAATATGGAATGGAATAGAATACAATAGAATAGAAAATATGGAATAGAATAGAATGGAAAATATGGAATAGAATAGAATAAAATACAATAGAATAGAAAATATGGAATGGAATGGAATAGAAATAGAATAGAATAGAAAAATGGAATGGAATAGAATAGAAAATATGGAATGGAATGGAATAGAATAGAAAATATGGAATGGAATGGAATAGAATAGAAAATAGGAACTAGGATAGGATAGGATAGGATAGGATAGGACCTTGGAGAGGGTCACTTCAACCAGGAAGGGACCCAGGGCAGAAAACATCCTGCAGCCAAGAAGGCTCCACGCCCATTTGCACCACTCAGGCGACCCTGAGGACACACATAAGCCTCCAAGAGGCCTCAACGAGTCTCTAAAATAATGTAAATGACCAGCTGTCTGCAAGGAGTATAAATCCTCCCGTTCCCCACCATCCAGTGAGAGCTGAGGAAGCCTCTGGGATGAGAAGCGAAACGTCTTCTGAGACAAACAAAAAAGTCCAGTGGCCTCCTGAAAAAAAAAAAAGCACCTTTGGAAGCAAGAAACTCTATACCAGGGATGTCAAACTCGCAACATCACGTGACGTGTCGTGTCGTAGCGTGACTTTTTCCCCCATTGCCGGCAATGGGGTGGGTGCGTGGTTTCGCTGTGATGCATTCGGCCCGCGGGACGGCAATTTGACACCCCATTGCTCTATACCAGGGGTAAGCAACCTTGGCTCTTTTCTGACTCGTGGACTTCAACTCCCAGAATTCCTGAGCCTGCATGGCTAAGCATGGAAGCCTCTCCCTTTCCCCTCAGCGTGGCTGGCTCAGGAATTCTGGGAGTTGGAGTCCACCAGTCATAAAAGAGCCAAAGTTGCCGACCCCTGCTCTATACCAATGTGCAAAGACGCCGTTTCGCTTTGGAAAAAGGGTGACGCCACATTTTTGGTGGGTGAGTCCTTGAAGTGTGATGGGGAGACCTTCTGCCCCCCCCCCCAGCTTACTTATAAAGCCGAAGAAATTCCGGGTGAGGATTGACCGGATCCAGGGGTCCGTAAATCAGATGCACTGGAAGACAGGAAGAGCGACGACGTTTGACGCAAAGGCCCAAATGAGAACAAATGTCCTAAAAAAAAAATCCCCGCTCTTAAGAAGCCCATCAAAGGTCAGACTAGCCGGTCCTACTCACAGGGAACCGAGGTGGATCGCAGAGCCCCAACCCAGCGGTCCCGGTGTTGCTTCCGCTGGTTGATATACTGTAAAAGGCTGCAAAGCAAAGTTGAAAGGGTGAGCAATTACAGCAGGGGTAGTCAACCTTGGCTCTTTTATGACTCTTGGACTTCAACTCCCAGAATTCCTGAGCCAGCACAGCTGGCTCAGGAATTCTGGGAGTTGAAGTCCACGAGTCATAAAAGAGCCAAGGTTGACTACCCCTGAATTACAGGATAAAGGAGCTGGAAGGGACCTCAGAGGTCTTCTAGTCCAGTGTTTCTCAACCTTGACAATTTTAAGGCATGTGGACTTCAACTCCCAGAATTCCACAGCCAGCAATGCTGGCTGTGGAATTCTGGGAGTCGAAGTCCACATGCCTTAAAATTGTCAAGGTTGAGAAACACTGTTCTAGTCCAACCCCGTGTTCGAATAGGAGACCCTGTACCGGGGGAGGTGTCTTCAACCTTGGCAACTTTAAGACTTATGGACTTCAACTCCCAGAATTCCCCAGCCAGCTAGCCAGCCAGCCCTGCAATTGACAACATTTTTTTCCCCCCACAAACCAGTGGAGGATTGCCTGAACTGCATTTGGGGGGTTTAACGTCCTACCTGTCTGCCACGAGGTTTCCATCATTTGTTCGCAGGGCCGTCCACATGTCCCACAATTCGGCCTCTGAAGGCTGGGTGTACGGGCCAAAGACTTCAGCAAGGCTGGAGGGATTCAAGGCGAGATGGATCGGCACCGAAGGATTCACACAGTCCAATTCCCCCCACACACACACACCAGTCAATCCTCTTGATGAGCGGTTCTCCCACTCAAATGGCTTTCTTTGGGCTTAAATATAATCCGGTTTTTAGGACTCTAGGGAAGATGATTTGAGGACCCCGATGCTAGAACAGTGTTTCTCAAACCTCAAACACTTGAAGACGTGGACTTCAACTCCCAGAATCCCTCAGCTGGCTTGTTTTAAGATGGCTGGACTTCAGCTCCCAGAATTCTCCAGCTGGCTTGCTTTGAGATAAATGGACTTCAACTCCCAGAATTCTCTATCCAGTTGGCCTTAAGATAAATGGACTTCAACTCCCAGAATCCCCCAGCCAGTTGGC